ATGCATTACGTTACTGACTACAATTAGTAAGTAATCTACCCAGCACTGTTAAAGGGATAGTTCACCCTAAAAATGCACCCAAGTCATTTATTCACTCTCATATCATTCCAAAGCTTGGACTGCATTGTCGTAACGGTGAGCAAATAATGACAGCATTTTATTGCTGAATTGCTCTTTAAGGTTCTTGTTTGAGAGCCAAATTATGATCTAGTAAACAAGTTCTGGTTCACCTAAAGCTGCGATGTGCACAGACAAGGTGCAGCGAATGGAGGTTCCATAAATGTCATCAGATCTATTTAATGAGAAATAATGGACCGACTGGAGGATTTGGCATTGGAACTGAAAGCCAAGCTGGCATAAGAACGACAATAGTAGTAGCTTGGCAGATGTTGTATAGTTTGAAACTTGTGAGGCATGTTTACTCCTGAAATGTTTTGAAGAGTGCTTGACTTCTGTGTGTATTCATTCTGTCAGTGCAGGGAAGCGAAATAGGGTGTTTATCACATTATTTAATGTGGTTTTAGTGAAATTCTGAGAAAGACTATTGCATTTCCCCTACTAACTTTGCCACATTTTTTTCCCTATTAAAAGCTAAAAAGTAAAATAAATTTTTTTAACTATATATTTTCTAAATTTAAAATGGTTCTAAATACGTTTTTTCGCTTATGAGATATTTTTAAAAATTGAGTATATATATTTTTTACTTACCTTAAACTAAAACCTGAAGATTTCCTCTGTGCATTAGTTTAATTCCATATTATTCATCGTTGTATTTTTCCCCGTCTTTTAAGCAAGTGAAATAAGTGCTTCTTCACTAAACGTTCCTCAGTTTGCAGCTTCTCTCATTTTATATGTACTCACAAAAAAAGTACATTGCGATGACTAAATTCTGTGTGGGAACGGATCCAGATATTATCTCTCTTTTCAGTTGCATGCTGAGGAATGTCCTTGTTGTTGAGCAGCTGGCATCACCTAGCGTGATCACCGGTTTAAAACTTCATCCGTCCTCTAACCCTTCCTCTCTCATTCGGTGTCTGCTTACTGACTCGCTCTGCCTCTCCCTCCCTCCCTCCCTCTCTCTCTCTCCCTCTCTCTCTCTCTCTTGCTCGCTCGCTCATGAGTTAAACCTGGAGAAACAGATGAATGTGTCGACACTGAGGTGGGTCCATTGATCCTGGATGGATGGATCCTGTCATTTTCTTCAGTGCAGCGAAGCTACTGTTTATTTTTGTCATTCATAGTTTTCCTGTAGCTTAATTCATCCTTTTTTTTTGTTGCCATTTAGTCACCTAGTCAATTTTTTAAAATCGTTTTGTACATCCCTGCCACCTACTTTTCATATTTTCAATATGAACTTCATATTTTATCTATTGGGTTTGTATCCAGACTTGAACCTTGAAGCACCCAGGTAATTTTCTTCAGCTGTCTGTATATCCAGAGGGAGCGGGATTGTCCTTTAACACCATCTGAATACTGAGGGGGTTGGTCCAGTGGCGGATCTGTCGTATTTTAAGATGTATCGATTGAGGTTTCGACTCGCAATTTTGCATTAAAAGACTTTTGCGAGGCCAATCCGTGAACAGTCTTTGTCCAGCTCCTTCCCATTACCGCCATGTGCTCAGGCTGCATAGACACACGTGTTTGCCACCTTGACATGGTGAAGCTGGAGGTTAAAGCTGGTTACAACAAAAACGTGTTTGTCTGTGTTTTGTACATGCTACCAATCAAATATATGAATGCACCTACTTTAATTATGTAGTGACCATAGAAAGATTTTAAACCGCAGCTCTTTGTCTAGATCCCAGATGCTCATACAGTAACCGCTTCATGAGGTGCATCCTGGGGTGCTCTGTAAACTATTAAAGGAGTTTCTACCAGTTATAGTATCATTTGGTGTACTATTGTAGTTTTAGTATTTTCAATTTTCTTTTTATGTTTTACATTTTTATTTTAATTTGAGCCATTTTTTGAGTAATTTTGATTTAGACATTTTTAGTTTATTTAATTACTTTATATCAATCTAAAAGAAAAAACAATTATGTTTGGGCAGCAAGCATAAATAAGTTATATACGTTTTTTTTTTAATATTTCCTTTTATTTCATTTTATTTCAAGCAGTATTTTTTTCTTTTACACTTGAAATGTCATTTCACCTACTTCAACTTAAAACTTTAAAGCAGCAACTGGATTTAAGTCATGCAAACTTTTTTCAATCCTTTCAAATTATATTAATCTGACCTAAATGTAATATTTTGAAATCCATGCATTTGCTTTTATGCTCGAGTTTTGTAGACATCTAATTAGAAATGTTTCAGTTGAAACGCTGACTTTTGTCTTGTGTGTGTATGTATGGAAACTTGAGGCCGAAACCTTTTTTTTTCTCCGCTAACAAAACCTGAAGTCTATGTTTTGATGATAAGCTGTTAAAGTAATGCCAGTGGAACCAGGGCTGTTGTAGGGGACTCTCTTTTGTTTGTTCCTTTTACTGGTGCGTTTTGAAAGCGTCTTGCAAAGGGAAACTCTTGAACCATGAACGCCTCCGACTCCTGGAGTGTGTCAGGCTTCGTCTTTTGTTTATGAAAGTTAACAAGAAAAAACTTAAATCAGACAAAACCAAATTTAGGAGGGAGCTTTTAGCTAAAGATTTAAGAGGCTGTAAAGGTTGATTGTGTTTGCATAGACAAATCAGTTCTTATGAAGGAATTATATATATATGTATGTATATGTAGATTAAAAGCTTTTTGGGGACAGTAATCATTAACACTGAACGAGTGCAAGTTGTACATATAAGTTTTTTATTATTATTAGTGCTTTCATTAGTACGTTTAGTACCTTTTCATTAGTATTTAAATCTTGGATTTCTGTTTAATGAATTTATAAATGTACTATGCATAAGTATCTGTATATAGTGTGGAGTGTAAACGAATGTTGTACTTTTTTTGTAAATGGCTACATTTATTAATTTTTATCAAATTGGCAAGTGGTTATGAATGAATACCAGAATGTATTGAAGGCAAATCTATTTCTGTGTGAAAACAAATGAAGCTCCAGTCTGAATCTGAGATGAGCATCTAAACTAGAGACACCGATTGCAATCGTCTTGGCTGATTCTGATTTCCAATGTTTGTTGTAAGTGTGACTTGCCGATATTGATTTTTGGCAGTTCCCATTTTCTTTCTAAGAACTATAATTGGCAGCATGTACAAACAAAAATCTATACTTTTTTTACAATACAAAAATTATTTATATAATAAAATAAATGATTAAACATTACAATTTCCCCCAATCTGGACTAAGTTACAGTTGTTCTCTGACTTAAACAACTCTCAAAATAAAGTGCTCTGTGACTGGAAAGAGGAAGAAATTAGTTGCTGTATGTAACAAAACAGATGTCATTTCCCACTATGTTTATAAATGGTCATTTTTTTCCCCTAACTTTATTAAATGTGTCATCTTTCACATCAAATACTTACACTGTTTCAATTAATTCAGTTAGAATAATAATAAACTTGTAGAGTTGTTACCATTCAAATGAAATCAGTATCAACAAACTCCGTCTTTCCACTGCAGGAAACACAGAGTCTGCATCTGAAGTGGCATTAGATGTATTTACACTGTTTGATGAAGCTGAGCTGCCATAAATGCATTTCAAATGCATAAATACTTTTATAAGATTAATGTTTTAAAATTTTTTAAACATGCAAATAAAATATGTTGGGGGAAATTATACTTTTAAATATGAAACCAAACCACCAGTAGGTGGCGGCAAATGTTTTAATGAGTGTTAAGTCAAATCCTTTTTTATTGCTAGTTGGCATTTGTATGCGAGTGCTAAATTGTGGATTAGCTTCTCACGGAAAGGGTTTGGGCTGTGGGAAGGGTTCGAGTTGTCTCAACTGGACATGCTGTCTGTCTTTTTTTTGTTGTTGCTCTGGACCTAAACTGAAGTTTAATTCACTTTACTGTCAACCTGGTATTATACAAACTGTACCAACCTAGTACAAACCTCTTGAGCATATTGGCATCGGTCAGTCAAATTATCCATGTCGATCTGATTAGTCTGGTTTAAAGATTACATATTCCTTATATTTCATTGCCATGTTTCTGTAGAAAATAAAGGTACTCATCTTTTTATGTGCAGTTTGATAATGTTTTGATGCCTGATTTCACTTGAAGCAATTACGAATCTAGATTGGAGCTTAAGCATGCCACTTTATACAAGTGTATATAGCAGTATAGAATCATAATATCACCCATTGCTTCCATTATCGGCCACAACAAAGACATTTTATAAGGTTTTTGGCAGAATTTCTATATCAGTGCTTCATTCATTCATGCATTCGTTCATGCATTCATTCATTGAGAGTCAAGTCAATGAGAAGTGCTAATTCTCTATTATAAGTTTAATGACTTTATGTTCTGAGTCTAAAAATAACACAGAAGATTGACACTGTTGACAACTTTTCAATGTGTAGTTACTGTAAGTAAAGTTGTGTTTATACCTTGTAATATAGCTATTTAGTTGTTGTTTTTTAAAGTGTAGTTTGACTGAAGGCAATTTGAGAATGTTCCTCAACACTGATTGAGTTAGCATAGAAATGGCAGTTTATGTTCATTGAGAATCTCTACACTTCATTGAATTGTATTGGAAGCCAAAGAACCACATTTTGAACAGTAAAATATTCTATTATGACTTAAGTACAAAATATTAGACTGGAAAGTCTTGTCACAAGGCCTGATAGTCCTATTCTGATCATTTTATGGTCTATTCGTGGTAAACTCATGTGCAACTTCAAATATACTTGATGAATTGAAACACTGTTTAATCAAGATTTAATCTTTTGTGTTACGGACAACGGTTTGGCTGCGCACCAGTTTAATAGTTCCTTTGCATAAACTCTGAATAAAGAACTAAAACCTCGCATTCCTTCAGCCGATCCAAAGTATTACTGTCAGAGCAAATAAACCGTTTTGAGAAATGGATGGTCTCCGCTTCAAGTGTTTTGTATTTGTGTCTACAGGACTCCAGAACAATGTCCCAGTGTGGTTTCTCTGCTGTCTGAGAGCTACAATCCCCACGTCCGCTGCGGCGCTGCGATGGCTCTGGGCATCTGTTGTGCTGGCACTGGGAACAAGGTGAGTTTTGATATTAGTCGGTTTCATTGAATTAGCTTGTTAATGCGTTTAATAATTTAAATTTGTCATGTGTTAATACAGATATAATTTCAGTACCATGACAAAAACACTCCTTTTTTTTTTTTAAAGGTTAAATATTAATTTAGATATAAAAATTTATGTAAACAATGGTATGAACTAGGCTTGCTGTGAGTCGGTGTTACGCCGCAGCACCGGTTACGGCCCCCCACCGTCATTTAGATTTTTTTATAGTAATAAAAATAATTTAGTTCAGTTGGAGAACAGACTCTACAGTTAAAAACTGAACGCGGCTGCTCAATGACCGTTGCATCACAGATCAGCAGCAGGAGTCAGAGTTCATTTATCACGTGAGGAGAGTGAGTCCAGCTGACCGACGAGAAGAGTGAGGTGAGACAGACAAGGCCATGGTGGAAGATTTAGTTTCGAAGCAAAATCCAAAGCATTTGGTGATATTTTGGATTTTGAAAAGCCTGTTGACTTTTGCCGTGTATCTAAGTTGATTTTGTAAGTTTTATTTTTTTATTTTTATTTATTTTTTTAACTAAATCCATTTCTTATTTATTTGGTTCCACAGTGTTTGCTGATTTTCAGTTTTTTTAATTTTAACTTTGTGTAAGTTATTTATTTTATATTAGGCCTATAGCATGCTGTATTTTTATTCGGTTTGTTAACAAAAGTTCAATGTTTAATATGAGTGAGCTTGTCGTTGTACTGTTTTGTTGTTGTCCATTCAAGCAATTGATGTCGAATTGCCGCTAATTCAAAAGTGAAAGTAAAATGCGCTTGGGCAATTATAATCTATGTAAAAGAGAAGGAAAGCGAGGAAAAGAGGGAAACCCCAAACGAACACCACCCCCTGGGTGAAACAGTATTACCGGTATCGTCACGTGTCGATTAACCGGTGGGAAAATGTCCTCATTGTCACAACCCTAGTATGAACAGTAGATGTCATGAACTTTCAAACAGCTTTCATCTAGGTTAATGTTCATTTAAAATATATACCTTCTGTGTATAGATATTTCAGTAACACTTTAAAATGAGGTTCCATTTGTTATCTATGTTTAATGCATTCACTAATATTTACTGACTATGAACAATGCATTTGTTACAGTGTTTAATAATCTTTGTTAACATTAGTTAATAAAAATACAGCTGATCATTGTTAGTCCATATTAGCTCAATACAATACAATATAAAGACAGACAAATAGTTTACTTTTTGTGACGATTAGTGTTGTCACGGTACCAAAAGTTCAGTATTTGGTACCAATACCAGTGAAAATCCACGGTTCTCTGTACCAATTTCGGTTCCAAAGCAAAACACACAAACATGCTAATTAAAAAACACATTATTTTTATGAATAAAGTCAAACAAAAATAAAATGTACAAAAATCAATGCCATTCTTTATACTTATTTAAAATTGTTTCAAGTTTTTCTGCAAGTAATAAAAGTATGAAAAAAAGTAAACAAGTTTCACCCAAAAGTTTTTGTCATAGTTCTGCTTACACTGAAAAAACATCTGTAAACTGTTGTCTGTTTTAGGGTTTGCTGCTGTGTTTCATGATCTTCCTGCAGCTGTAAAAGGAAAATATAACATACTTATGTAAAGCAATGGGCTGAGTCTGACCAAATGCAACATTAGATCATTGACACCAGCTAAAATATAACTTTTCAGTAAATAACAAACCTCAGCTTTTATAATAAATTTAGATAAGATGACATATATTTTAAGTCAAGTGTATATCGAATAGATGAAAGCTGTAGTATTAAAAACACTTTACAATAAGACTCCATGTGTTAGATAACATGACCGATCAATAAACAATAGTTATAGCAATTATTCTTAGGGTTCATTTCAAAATTTACTAATATGTAAATCACAAGTTCAATCTGTTAAAATTATTTAGTGCACAATGAACAAACACGAATGATCAAGTGTTTGTATTAAATAACATTCAAGAATATTAATTAATGTTGTAAAAATATATTGTTCACTCACTGTAAGTTGATGTTAAATAACATGAAGTCATGTTAATGAATGGTATCTTATTGTAAAGTCTATACAGGAGATCAAATTTGACTCTACTTTCATTTAGTCCAAACGGTGTAAATATTTAACTTTTAAAGGGCTTTTAAAACCTGCTAGAGTTATCCAGCCAAGAATAACAACTAAGTTAGCTAAAAAAAAGCCCAGAACTGCTTTCTGACGGACTGATAGTTATAAACATAACAATGTTAACCATTTGTACATTCTCTAACACACATATTTTAGATTCACAATTCATTTAAAAGCCTCTGGTGTGTAAAAATAGTAAATACCATCATGTCCTCCTGTTTTTTTTTTACCCTAATAAAAGGTATAGGAGCATTAAATAGTTAATAAAGAAACTTCATTCTAATGTTCATCAGTGTTTCCCACAGACTTGCACTCTATTTGTGGAGGCATATATATGCAAATTAATTCTCTGCCAGCAGGAGGCGCTTGTAGAGCAGGAGAGATCGAGGTTTCCCCGGTAACGCTGTACACAAAGCAGCGCTCCGCTCACAAACACTGCTTTATCAGACATTACAAGCAAGATGAAATGAAAATGACATCCATAATTTTCTGAAGACAGTTTCCTTCAGAAATACAGTGAATAAACATGAGCACTGTGTGTTTTTATATCAATGAAGTCAAAGCCTTTTGGAAAATCTATTTGTGACAGTCAGTTTTGATATTGTGGCGGGCGCCACAAATAAATCAATGTATGGGAAACTGCCGCACTTATGCTAACGATTAACTACGCTAACAGCGATTTTATTTCAACTCGACAATAAAATTAAAATATGTACAAATATTCATAACAGAAGATCTAAATATTAAAAATTTAAATGAAACTTACCTGCTTGAACTCTTTCATTTGATCTGGGTGTCTGTCTTTAAAGTGTTTTGTTAGTTTGGTTTGTTTCCTCATTTTGAGGTCGCCACGTCTCTGTGCTTTTATGAAGAGAGTGCATCTGCGCACCTTTCGGATAGCACATCAAGAACCGGGTTTACTGGGTACTCGTTACGGTACTTACCTGGTACCGTAACGTTTTAATTTTTTTAGTACCGACTTGGTACCGAAGTACCGGGACTTTTGACAACACTAGTGACGATACTATATATCTCGCCCTATGTGAGTATAGTGTATGTATGCGGATACATTTGGACATACTTGTATACATAACTTAATTTAAAGAGTTCTGCGATTAAATATAGTTACGTTTTTGCTATGGAAAAAAACAGGCAGTTGAGATTTGTTAAATAGTATATATTAGCTTATATGAGTATACTGGATGTATGCAGGTACTCTAGATGCAACTTTTAATATATCGACAACATCAATTTTTGTTTAATCATTGTTGTTGCATTTGTGGCCATTTTAGTCACAGTCTGGAGCCCTGATATGACTGTTAAAGGTTAGACAACTGAAAAATGATTAAATGAGACAAGAAGACAGCTGAGCAGGAACTGCCAGGCCCCAAGAGAGATGTTTGAACTTGTCTTACAACAATCCTGAGTTATTTGCTCTTCTGCATGCTCAGGTCAGTTCTGTGACTAATTGTATTACCAGTGCAAGAGTCACAGATGGCACATTTACCACTCGAGTGGAGATGAGATTAAAGCCGATACCTTGGACGATGTTCTAGCCATTTGCCACTCAACTCGCTCGTTGGGTGAGCTGGAAAAATGGAATATGAAGATTGGTCTTGACTATATAATAACTCTAATCCAAATCTCTCTCTGATGCCCAAATACAGTCATGGGCGATGTTGGGAAATGGGACTGGCCTAGGAGCCAAGATCTCCCACACTTTCAATTCTGTCAGGCCTTTTAAATGGGTCACAAATTCAGCTTTGGGTCTGCAATTTATACACCTGGTTGTTTTTACTGTGATATAATTTCTGCTTTTGTTGTGCCGACAAGTGCCTAGAGGAGTTGCTTCAATGCCTTTTCCGCTCCATCTGTCAAACAAACTGGTTTTGTTTTTAGTTAATTGTTCCAAACAACTGCTGACTTAATCGCAGAAATATGTATAATGATGGGATACTGTAAGTTGTGTAATGTTACTTTAGCTTTTAGTGGTCTGTGTGCCAAATCTGCTATTTTGGGCTCTGTCTTCAGCGCTGTTTTAAAACAAAATGGTTTGACTTTTGGCCCGAAGATCAAATGTGGCACTAAATAACCATCTTGAACCAGTCTGACCCTTTCTGAGGGAAAAATTGTCTTTCTTTCTCTATGGCTTGTGAATTAGAAGTAGGAAAATTAACTCGGCTACTTCCTTTCTGTATTTTCAGGTCTACCATATTATTATACCTCAAAGCCAAAGATGATTAGATACTTGGGAATCTGATGAATTTGTGGTTTTCAGCATGTGTTGGGATATGCTTCTGTTTTTCCATAATCATAATACATATGCTTCCATTGATGATTTCCTTCAACAGGAAGCAATCAATCTCCTGGAGCCCATGACCAATGACCCAGTGAATTACGTCAGACAGGGCGCGCTGATCGCCTCGGCTTTGATCATGATCCAGCAGACGGAGGTCACCTGTCCAAAGGTAAGGGGAATGCGTGACTTTGGGTGGTTGGGGTTAATTATTTGGCTCCTGGGATTTGTATGCATAATCTGTGTGAATGAGCACTGATAATGCCTTAAAATACTGTATTTTTCAGTCCTTGCCTGACCGCGATGTGGCCCAGAGTTACACAATCACAGCTAATGTTTAATATACATTCATGTGGGTCACATGTTGCACCAATGAGGTTCCACATAAACGGATGTACATTAGCTCGAGGAAGTTTTTGTGGGCTTGAGAGACTATACAGACTGAAAATGAACAATAGTCTCTCATTGTAGTGTTTATTATAGATTCTAGTCATAAATATTCACCTCTTATAATATCAGACTTCATCGAATCATTTCTTCAATGTGGTTGTGTAGTCACGGTACATTTGCTTGTTTCTTGGGGTGATTTTTCCTTCAGTTTTACCACATGATTATTACTGGGCTGCGAATGTTATGGCTACATGAAAGTAAAATTGATTTGAAATCCCTGTTTTATGGTGTAATAAAAGGTTGGAGTTGTAATAATGGCAATCATTTGTTAAATATCCCTTCCGGGCAGACTTTAATTCATGCTAGCCACATGTTTTATGAGCCTGGCCTTAGAATTTGGGGAGAGAAAGCAGATTATGAATGTCATAAATGCCTTAGAACAGACTTCATTTAACTGTGTGTTTGCCTCTGAACCAGAATCTAGATGTTTCTTCAATATTTTGCGAAGCAAATTTTGCAAATTAATTCATATTGACATTGTGCATTGTTGTAGAAAGTAATTTCTGAGTCTGAGGAAATGAACCGAGTCAAATACCTGAGATACCATCTTTTAAATTACGGTGATATTAACAGTTGTTGTGAATGCAGCATAAGATCAGAAACATTTATTAAGAGAAGTAAATAAAGTCAGTTTTGATTTCACATCTTTGCTGCTATGTTGTTTCCTGTTCTCGTTCATCGATTAATTGAAAACCACAGTAGTCGTATATCAGAGATCAGTTGTACATCGACTCTTTCTTTCCATAGGTGAACCAGTTCCGACAGCTCTACTCAAAGGTGATCAACGACAAGCACGATGATGTGATGGCCAAATTTGGGGCCATCCTGGCTCAGGGCATCCTGGATGCAGGTCAGTATCAGATCTGACTATTTAAGGTTTCTGGACTAGACCATGTGCTTTCTTTCTTATTTTGCACATTTCTTACCTTTTTCTCATTAATGAAATATAAAGGAAAAAAAATCATAGTACAAAATGTTTTTAATTTGTGCTTTATCAAACAAAAAGCTATTTTATTACGATGTTTTTCAATATGCATTAAAATACTAAATAAATATAAAAAACCTTTAAATAGGCTTCATTTATTTTAAAATAATCCAATATTTAAAAATATTCCCAAATAATTGTATGCATCATTGAATTTCTTGTTTCTTTGATTTATTTTGGTTTTGGGGTCAGGTTAACAGCTTCAGTTCTCTTAAGTTAACTCTTAAATATATGTGGAAATGGATAGATATTGTCAATTTTAAATTTTTCTTTCTGGGTTAATGCGCTTTGTAGAGTCTTATCTCAGATAACTGTGGGTGAAAACACCTTTTGTATGCATGTCAGGGCAGGTAAGTCTGTTTCTGATAAAATGCTGATAGGATCGTGACAAAAATGTGGCATGCGAAACAAGATAGCACCACGTCTTCATGCCACTACAAGCAAATACATACATTGTATACCAACCCAATATAGGTTATCGCAGAGTCAGTAGAATATTTCACACAGTGTGCTGTTTTTGCCCAAGGTAATTGAATTTAGGACATGCTGGGTAGGTGTTGCATCCTGATTATTTGTATTACAGTTGGACACAGTTCTTAATATGGGGGATTTCAAGGTTTCAGTCAGGGGTCTATGCCTGAACACTTCATTTAAATACATGAGCTATACCGCTGTATTTTTTAAGTAACTTATTAAATAACTGCTTTACAAAAACACTCTTACATGGGCTCCAAAACCTAAACCTTGTGAGCTGCCTTCCTGTCTACAGCATACAATGCAACTTAACCGATATGGACTACATAGGCAGCAACTCCATGTGCTACACAAATTGTGCACATCAGAGAAAGCACACAGGAGAATCAACTCTCATCTGATTTCAGTAGACTTTGATAATACTGCAGTACTTCAGTAAGCATAAAAATACACCGCGTACTATTAGAGGTTGACATTAACGTGTTGTTAAGGCCCCGATATACTCAAAACAAAGTTCTTTTTCATTCTTCATTTAGGAGTTCAAAATACATGAGCAGCGGTAAACTGTTATCGAACATCCCGACGCCGCCCACTCTGATGAAAGCGATGCTTAAATTAATATGTAAATATGTGCTGCCAAAAATGGAGAGAACAGCAAGAAACTTAGTTTTGGCTGGATTTTGTTCGAAATGACGTCACATCAGTTCGTTCTTTGATTTTGCTTGAAGTATATCGGGGCCTTTAAGCTAACATCACAATAATCCAATAGGCATAAACAAACACAGCACACACAAATATTAGAGTTTAACATTAGCATGTTGCTAAGCTAACATCACAATAATCCAAAATGCATAAAAATACACATTGCTCAAATTTTGGAGTTTTGACGCTAGCATTTTGCTAAGCTTATACCGTAATACTCCAGTAAGCATAAAAATAGCACATACAAATATTGGAGATTGGTGTTAGCATGTAGCTAAGCTAATGATAGTACTCTGATAAACAAAAATGGACAACACAAACAACATTGGAAGGATTTCTGTGTATCCCGGTTTATTCTGGGATTGTTGCTTTAAAATTTAGCCATTATATTTTAACAGGTATGCTGCTTACTTTATGGAAGAGTCTTTGTGTCAAGGGCATGCCTATGATGCCTTAAAATGCTGCCTATGTAGGCACCTCACTAGGTTTTAAAAGAAAATGCACTAGTAATATCAATGGCCTACTGAAAGCTCTTGAAGCTCATTGAAAATGGCAAGTTCTCTTGAAATTTTGTCCCTCAATAACATTTTGAAGTCTCTTTTTAGCCTCGCTTGATTCATGACCTGGTTTGGCAGAGAGTTTGAATTCTTGGCTTATTGGTTGTCACAAATGACGTAACATGCAGTCACTGCAGTCAAAATAAACAAAACAGGCCATCATTTTCCTATGCGATTACAGTAGATGCCAACAGGAAACTTGCAGTCTGATAATTTAACGGGCTCTGACAGAAGTATGCTTTTGTCTGCAATGCCTTTCATTCTGAGCCAAATCAATCTTCTAAACTGATGATACCATACCTCCCCATTTATCTTCTTTAAAAGTGCATTGTAATGGACATGTCCACACCTGTTTCCGGCCTGGCATTCATCCCTCACTCCTGTTATTGTCTGCTCATCAGGGTGTTTGAGGGTGGAGGAGTCTTTGGCCTTGATCTTCACATCATCTCATATTAATATCCCAATCCTGTATCAGCTCCAGTCGGCCATGCACCTCGACAGGAAAGGACATTTGAAAGCTGCATTTGTTAATCAAGATATCACCAGTGCACACCTACGGGATACGGCATGAAAAATATGCCTTGTAATATTACCGAATCAAAGCCAGAATCCAAGAGTAGTTTATTTAGACAGACCTTTATATAAAAGCATAAAGTCCGGTCCACAGTGTCATTTATTCTGGTCTAGATCTGCTCACTTAAGGTGTGGTCTCATTTACTGCTTGTGGGTGAAATTTTATGGGAGAAATCCATTCATTTTATTGGGTATCTGCACAATCTGGAGTTTCGGTGAAGGATTTCTCCATGCGGGTTTCACTCGTGTTTAAGTTGGACATGCAAATTTGCTGTGTTGACCAACAGAAAGCTGCTTAGTTTAAAAGTGAGTTGTTAGTGGTGCGTCATGGATTGCTACACTTACCTTAAAGGGGTCCTATTATGCTTTTTCACTTTTTTAATTTTAGTCAGTGTGTAGTGTGTATGTTTGGGCATAAAAAAGATCTAGAAAGTTACAAATCTCAAAGTCCACTCCAAAGGGAGTCATTTAGTTTTTTTTTAAATCCCTTTTCAAGAACTACAACGAACGACTCGTTTGGACTACAGCGTTTGTTTTCCAGACTTTGTGATATCACAAAGCGGCTCATTAGAATATCATTAAAAATTATTCCCGCCTACAGAAATTCGAATGGTTGGGGGTTGGGGAGGGGCGAGGTTGTGGTTAGAACGCTTGGTTGAGTGACTGCATCAGACGAGACGATGAAGAAGTAGTGCTGCTGCAGAGTGACACCCCCAAAACTAAATCAAGACTTTGTAAAAGAGCATAATAGGACCCCTTTAACAAAATCTTATCACGAAACGAGTAATTTTATTTCACAGTAACGATATGTATCACGATATAGTTATTTTGCATTAAATAAGGTCTTTATGATATTAAAAAAATTGATACCATAGAAATGTGATATACTTTTCACCACTGTCAATATAAAAAAATAAAAATAATTTTAGCCTAAATTTTTTTTTAATAAAAACTCAAGCTCACTGAAGGCAAGTAAACAGGCAGTGATTAAATAAGAATAAGAAACAAGCAATAGGACAAAAAAAGTAGAATAAATAAGAAATGCTACATGCATTGTATAAAATAATCAAATGAATAAAAACACTGCACATTCTTCACTGTGTAAATTAAATATATATTTCTTCTTATTAAAGTTCCAAAAGTGATTTAGTCAAGAGCAGTGATAGATTTTCTCTCTTTTATTGATTTTGTTTTTGTTGATTGACATGAATGACAGACAGCAGAAATATTAGACTGCTGTGACTTTAAGAGCTGCCCGGCTCCTATATACTGTTAACACGTTTTCTTTCTCAGCGGTTTGCTTTCACTTAAGACCTAAATTGCAGCGCAAATAACAGCCAGAGAATACTTGCAAAGATGGGCATTTTGACATACAAGTGTGTATTCAACCATTCAAGGCCAACAAAGCAGTAAAAATAACTCCGTTTAATACTCCCACGCTCATCAAGCACCGACCTCACATGCGTGCGCCTCTCTAACCGCACTCAGAAACAGTCAGATATAGTGAATATAGATATAGTGCGCATATAGTGAAATTAGTTCTCTTTCACTGCTGATTGCATTTCAATGGTTTAAAATCACTTGTTTTTAAACCGCAATGTTTAAAAATGGAAACAAACAAGTTTTCATGACCACGTAGCACAACAACGTCGTGTGAGCACGTAACTGCGATAGAGACGATAGTCCAACATTTCTACCGGTGGTGTATCGCCCACTATTGTCAATACTTTGCTAATGAAGAGGCTGTTTGGAGTTCCCGAGGAGCTTGCTAACACTCCATCTTTCCGATTCTTCTCAGGTGGTCGTAACATGACGATCTCTCTGCAGTCACGCACAGGCCACACCCACATGCCATCTGTGGTGGGTCTGTTGGTCTTCACCCAGTTCTGGTTCTGGTTCCCACTCTCTCACTTCCTGTCTCTGGCCTTCACCCCCACAGCTATCATCGGCCTCAACAAGGATCTGAAGGTAAGAAGAAATGTCTTCTAACCTACACAGCAACACAGTGCCACCTCAACATGGGTGACTTCTCAACATAGAGAAACAGTTGTTGTAGGTTATTTTTATCTCTTGCATTAGTGTGACAAATGTTCTAATACCCATGTATCCAGCATGGAGCCAAACCATTAATCCATGCAAGAAGAACTAGCAGCAGTTGGAGCATCGGTGAAGTAGTTAGTTTAGGATTGTCCAATTCTGTTCCTGGAGGCTGAAGGAAACTTTTTCCTCGTCGAAGCAGAGACCAGAAGACATTGGGATATCTTTCATACAGAAGTTACTCTTTATTGAGGACTCGCTGTGCATCGCTGCAGTCATCCAAGTCTGACTATAGCTCAGCACAGTAGAGTTTATACTTTTCAAGGGGGAGGGATACATAGAGGTGGAGAAAATCTAAACAAAGCTTGCAAGTGCAGTACAGGAATCAGCCCGTCACCAGAATTTCTCCAGTCCTGATCTCATCAGCATAACAGTGTCATTCAAATGCATAGGTGCTAATCCAATTGTCCATTCACCTTTAACTTGGGACCCTGCCCAATGGTCAGGAAGTGCATAAAGACAAAAGGTTAATGTCTCAGACACCTGGCCTGCCTGACTTGATCTTCTTAGAATGTCATCATCTTTAGCTCAAAATGTAAAACACAATGTACATAACATTCAGTTTATATTCTATTACTAGGGTGGCCGAGAAGTGCAAAGCAAATCACAATTCTGCAAACAAATTAACAAATTACAAACGCAAATGCAAGTCTAAAAAACAAAATTCAGAAAGCACAACAACAATTCAGAAAACATTACAACAAATCAGAAAACACAACGACAATTCAGACAAACCGGAAGAGGTTGGTATAGTTTGAGACAGCGCTATTGGTTTGGGATCACTCACCGCTGACTGGACGAGGCATCTGTCAGTCAAACAATACGGAGTATATATTTAGATTTAGTTAAAAGTGGCTGTGACTCATCAGCTGCAGTGGCGCAGATGGATAAGTGCTAGTCATTGGCATTATGAAAAGGGAGGAAAAAAAAGTTCGGCAAAAGGTGGGATCGAACCCGGGTCAATCGCATCTAAAAGCCAAGGGCAAGTGCTTAGCCGTCTGTGCCACTGGAGCTGATGTTTCTCAGCCACTTTTAACTAAATGTAAATAGACACCCCGTATTTTTTATTCCATAGTAAGGGCAATTCATACAATACATTTAAACTGAGCTACTTTAATACCATCTCCGAACTTTCTACCACGACTCTGCTGTTCTTCGGCTGGTTCTTCTCTGTATACGTTGATTGACAGATGTCTCGTCCAGTCAGCGGTGAGTAATCCCAAACCAATGGCGCTGTCTCAAACTATACCTACCTCTTCCGGTTTGTCTGATTTGTCAGTGTGTTTTCTGACTTGTTATTTTGTTTTCGAATTTGTCGTTGTGCTTTCTGACATGTTATAATGTTTTTTGAATTGTTGTTGTGCTTTCTGAATTGGTATTTTGTTTTTTAGACTTGCATTTGCGTTTGTAATTTGTACTTTTGTTTGCAGAATTGTGATTTGCTTTGCACTTTACGGCCACCATATATTACATTGTAACCGAGATATAACATTTTATAAATCTGTAGTCCAACAAGGCCCACTGTCCTGCAGTTTAGCGACAACCTAGGACTGGGTGATATGGCCCAAAAAATGATCACGATAATTTTTTTCATATCAGTCGATATCGATAATTATCACGATAAATGTCAAATCTTTATTTTAAAGTTTAAAACCAGATTTTTGCTCCAAAGTGAAAGTTGTAGAAACCAGACCATTAATTTGGGCTCATTATAATGATTTAAATAGAAAAAATAATTTCTTATGAATGAATGAATCAGAATGAATGAGTTTTTATTGCCAGGTATGTTTACACATACGAGGAATTTGTTTTCATGACAGAAGTTAACTTATGTTCTATTATAAAGAAATTAGTTTCTGCATGTTCTAATGAGTGATATTGTTTCAAATAAAGAAACCGGTTTGGGTTGCCTGATAATATTAATAATAATTATATCACTTTTTGTCTCTTAGAAATGCACATTTGATAGTAGCTTGAGTTAGGATGCGGAGGTTAATTTTTGTTCATTATCAAAATCAGTAACATCTGTAAAAATTGTAGCAGTCTCGGTTTTATATGGTTACATTTATTCTGACCAAGTTTTTTTTATTAAGCATTGGTATCCCATAGAAGCATACATTTAAATCATGATAAACACAGTTAAAACCACACATATAGCACCTCAATACCATGGTAAAAATATAACTATATGGATTTTAGGTAGCCTATTTGTATAAACAACAGTAGACTAAAACACTGTATAAATGCACACGTGCTATAGGTAGATTCACAAATACATACTATAATTATATACCATTAATACATTTACATGAGTAAAAATGTGTGAATTTCTGAGTGTTACTATAGTAAATCCATGGTAAATAATGGCAATGTGAGGATTAAAAGAGACTTCTGACTGTCTCGTTGCACACAGTGTTTCTACTGTTTGGCTTTAAACTTTTAAATCAGAGTCATTTGTGTTCATCGCTGAATTCAAGCGCTTCACACTGGATCTCACAGCGCTGTTTAGTACTCGCGTGACCGAATCTGCTCTAGTGAGCTCATGCGGAGCGGCTGTTTGAACTGTGATCCGAGACACTTTTCAGACAAAGCACATAAAAGACTTATTTGACATCAGCCTATTGCTAAGGGAACAGCATAATAAAAGACAGTGGTGAACTCTAAATCTACATCTTTTTAAATTAAGTTCTGTCTTCACAGATGCCGAAGGTGCAGTATCGATCCAACTGCAAACCCTCCACCTTTGCCTACCCTCCACCTCTGGAAGTGCCAAAGGAGAAGGAAAAAGAGAAGGTCTGTTTTAACTAGGGGTGTAACGATTCACTCGTTTTCTCGATGCATCGATTACAAACCCTGACGATGCATATGCATCGATCTTGAAACATGGATTTTGAATCGTGAATTGCCGATTTCGGACAGTAATCTATTTAAAACGCTAAGAATCGAATGAATCGCGGTTTCTATAGCGATTCAATGCTTTCAACATATATCCACGTTAAATTACTGCAAGCAGGAATTAATGGAGACCTTGAACAGTATTCGTGCCTCGCATCTCACCTTCACACGCTCCACTATTTACCGCCTGCAGTCAGAGGATTGCGCTCGCACTCCGTTCGTCTCACTGACACATTTTTTGAGCAGCTGATGTGTGATCTCTCCTGAGTACTCGTGGCCAGTAATGCTGAAGTGAAGTAGTTTTACTTTTCTGTAGTTTTTCAATGGCTCTCGGTCATACCGACGACATTACCTGAGCAGCAGTCGAAAGCTACGTATTTATTGCATGGACGGAGCAAAAATGTAAGTGTCTAAAAGCATACGCACAGTTCCACTGAATGATAAATGTTTTTTAACAATGTCGTTGAACCGAATGTACGAAGGAAACTGTTAAAATAACCACAGCATTAAAAACAACCTTGAAATAAGAGCGTGAGGTTTATCTGATAATCAGATGCATGAAAGCAGCGTTCGTTGCTATAGCAAACAGACTCCGGGCTTATTCTTTCATAATCATCATTCGCCGATGGAGAGGAAAAGTGAAACATAATAGCATTTTATTTTATGAAAATGAGTTTTCGCACTGAAAGAGAAGTGATCTCGCGCTCATAGACGTGCCAGACTATATCTGCAGCTAAACTGTATAAAAAGCCGAATGAACTGAAATGTTAAGACAATAAATAAATACAATTTATGAATGATGCAGTGCTAATTGACATATCATTTATTACAGTACAGAAACTATAAAGTATATTTTCTACCTTACTCTTGAAATAATTGTTTGTAGTATATAAAATAATCATAAAATAGCCAATAGGAAAAAATTATAGATTACAAATGATTGATTATTGTCCAGCAGTGTATTTGATTTCTTGTAGCAAATTCAAAGTAATATAGAAGAAAATAATTCCTTGTAAAATATATAATTATATACATGCAAAGCATACATGCATAAAATTATTGTATTTGATATTTCTGTCACTTCTGAAATTATGTCTATGCCCCTGGTGTGACAAAATGTTAGCATATACATAATGCTTTTAAAGCTTTTAAAAAAATTAAATTTTTTTAAAATCTTGGCTAACATAAATTTTTCCGTATGCCATGTCATGCCATAGCATCATTAAACAAGCATCTAACAATGGACAAAAGTGTTTTTTTTTTCTCTATCCTATTGTTCTCTAACCATAAAGGCTGCTGTGTAATTTGCCTCCTGACTAAGCATTTAAAGAATTTATGGGAAGCATTTAAATAATCCTGTGAATGCACTTAAAGAATGCAGAATCAAATCGTTATAATCGAATCGAATTGAATTTAATTGTGAATTGTGAATTTGCAAAAATCGTTTTTGAATCGAATCGAAAACCTATGAATCGTGAATCGAATCTCTGTCTACCTAAAGATTCACAGCCCTAGTTTTAACCCTTGTACCATGAACTCTCATCTGGCTTGTCAAATCTCAACTTGATACCAGAAGCCAATGTTCTTGAACAAGTCCCAGATATCATGGTGAATTTTGTCCCGCTATTCTTCTGGCAGGTTTCCACCGCCGTTCTGTCCATCACGGCTAAAGCAAAGAAGAAGGAAAAGGAGAAGAAGGAGAAGGAAGAGGAAAAGATGGAAGTGGTATGCATGTCCTACAGCACTCCCAGAAACCTTTTGCATGTCATGTACCACAGAACCCCAGGGATTTCCTCTTTATCTGATGCAGGAAACACAGGCAGAGGCCGAGAAAGAGAAGAAGGACGAGGAGAAAGAGAAGGAGAAAGAGAAGGAGAAAGAGAAGGAGAAAGAAAAAGAAAAGAAAAAAGAGCCGGAGCCAAACTTCCAGATGTTGGAGAACCCAGCCCGTGTCATGGCCGCCCAGCTCAAGGTCCTCACCATGCCTGACAGCTGCAGATACCAGCCCTTCAAGCCTGTGAGTCTAGCTCCTTTAATTTGGGCCTGCTGTGAATGTTTGACAGTTTTCATCCGTAAAACCGCTCATGCTGCAAATGAGAGAAACTCTTCAGAGAGAGACATTTGCCCAATGGCTCTAAATAAACAGCATTAAGAGCTGCAGTTTAGTCCTCAGAGGTCAGCTGGCATGAATCCAGCCACTTGTTTTTGCAAAAAACCTCTGAAGATTTCACTTTTACAGACGAAACCGTCCTTTTTCAGTCTGGATTTTTGCGTTACATAAGATTTTGACAACTATTTTTGCCTGAAAGTATATAGTTGGGCTGTCACACCATATAGTAACCCCCTTCGTCCACATTGTCGCCCCAGTTGCACACGGGTGGCATCATCATCTTGAAAGACACCAGTGAGGAAGAGGAGGAGCTCGTGGAGCCCGTGTCCGCTCATGGCCCTAAGATCGAGGAGGAAGAACAGGAGCCCGAGGCCCCAGAACCCTTTGAGTACATAGATGAGTGAGATATGACACCTTACAGGTACTTCCTCTACATGAACACAAAAGGAAATTTTTTAAATGCACTGGATTATTTTAGTTTAGACTCTTTGTCCGTGTTAAGATTCTAAACTAAGAAATATATTTAAAATCTAATAGAAAAAAAATTATTCAAATTTCAAGAAATTGTAATACAGTTTATGCAAAAGTTTGGGCACCCCTGAGAATGAACATAATTTCCATTTATAATCTGCTAGGCTTTCGAAGCAGCAACTTCATTTGGATTTAGATTATACCTTATGGGTACAGTGACATTTCAATTCTGAAATAACATTTATTGAATCAACAGAAACAATGCAATGGGAATCATAACAAAAACAGAAAGGTGCAAAAATTTGGGCGCCCCAATCAGTATTTAGTAGCGCCATATTTTGCTGAAATAACAGCCAGTAGATGCTGCTTATAGCCACTGATAAGTCCCTGAATCCTGACTGCAGGTATCAGGTAATTCTTCCTTGCAAAATGTCTGCCAGTTTGATGGCTGTCGAGCGTGGACAGCCTGCTTCAAATCAATCCATAGATTTTCAACGATGTTCAAGTCTGGGGACTGGGATGGCCATTCAAGAACATTGTAAATGTGTCTGTGCATGAATTCCTTTGGAACAGTGCTTTGGGTCATTGTCCTGCTGAAATAAACAACCCCGTAAGAAGTTGGAGAACTGACTAAGAACTTGTAACAAGAATTCTATCTGGGTGGAATGCATGCAAACCTCAACTCTGAAAAGTTTCCAGTATCTGTGCTTGCCACAGAGTCTCACAGCATGATGGACCCTCCACCAAATTTAACTGTAGGGAGCAGGTTCTTCTTTTCCACCATGCAAAGCACTAGTTTCATCCCACAACACATTATTCCAAAATAATTCTTGCTTGTCCAGATGAGCCTTTACATACATCAAACGACTGTTGGCAGTACGCAAAAAAAGGCTTTTTCCACATCACCCTTCCATTGAGCTGTCCCTTGTGCAAAGTGCGCTGGACTGTGGAACTGTGTGCAATGACATTATCAATAGCCAGATGTTCTTGAAGCTCTTTGGAGGTGCTCTGTGGTTTGTCTGTGACAATTCTAACCATTCCTTTCAGATATTTGTTGCCTTTCAGATATTTTTTTCTCAGCCTGCCACGTCTTTCCTTGACAAGGGCTGTTCTTGTGGCCTTCCATTTTCTAACTATATTTCTGACTGTGGAGGCAGAGACCTTAAACCTTTGTGGAATTTTTTTGTATCCTTCTCCCAATTCATATTAATGAATTATCCTAGTTTTTAGGTCATTGGGGAGTTCTTTTGAGGTTCCCATGTTGCTACTTTCCAGTAGAGAATCAAGGAGAAGCACAACTAGCAATTAGCTACCTTAAATATCATTTTCCATGATGGGTACGCAGTGTTAAGGTTCATTGAGCTAATGAAATCAATATTGTGTTGTAATTAATAAGAATTGACTACAGGAAATCAACGCAATTAAAAGGGTGCCCAAACTTTTACAGTCTATTTTTCACATTCCGACTTCATTTCATACAACTCAATACTGCTGCACTAAGAATTTCTGCCTGAAAATTTCACATTATGCAGCTTTCTCTAGAAACTGAATGATATATCACTACAATCTTTTCTTATAAAGCAAGAGCTAATTATTATGCTGCCTCAGAGGGTTGCCCAAACTTTTGCATAAAACTGTAGTGATCTTTAACTGCTCTCAGAATTGGTTGTTATAACTCAGTGAAGCTCATGTGCTCGTCTCCACTCTTTTTTTGTAGGTGGTGTTATGAATGTTGCGTGTTCGCAGCATGCACCGCTACATGTCTACTCAAAATGCCCACCTCTTTTCCTTTTTTACGTTGTTTCCTCCACTTGGCCTGTCGTGGCCACTTGAGGGATGTTTTACATGATGGTTTTCAGTCATTACAATAAAATATATATATGTTGAACATGAGACTGGGTGCTTTTATTGTGGTGGATCTGCAATATGCTTGTATTTTTGACATTTGATTAAACTGTTGTGTTACTGTTAAGTATTATGTTGTAATAAATGGGTAATTGACATGAAATGCTTTTGAGAAGACGTGCTGTACTATTTTAAACAGCATAACTTAAACTTAAATTCATGCATACACATTGCATGATATAAAATGAAATAGTGAAGACAAACGTGGTTAAAATTTAAGAAAGCATACAAGAAATGGTGGCCATTTATTGATCTTTTAAGTTATATGCATATTTTATGTAAGCTCATGGATAAGTGGACAGGAATGCAACTTCAAAAAAATATACAAGCAGCTTTAATGTACATAAAATATGGGGGCTGTAAAGGTTTGCTATTTAAAGTTAGATTTAGACATTTTTCCAAGACCATCCACTCACATTGCATTGTCCCTGTAGGTAATATCTTTTCAAATCTCAATTTACACAAACTAGTTACAAAAGAATAACCAACTGCCTGAAGGAAAGACATAACGGCATCAATCATAGTGACAGTATTTGTTTCTTTTAAAAAAATTTTTTTTTACTATAAACAAGCCACCTTTTTCCGTATACTGTATGTCATGAGGTACTTTCTACAGAAACTACCAAGTTTTTAATGGTATGTGGTCAGAGGTGTTCCACCAACCTAAACTGACAGGAGGAAGCATTTAGTCACCCCCCCCCCTTTTATCAAGGCAAAACTTCCCGTATGTCTTTACAAAGTGGGTGGGATACTTTGGACTTTGACTTCAAGAAAATTGGCACAGTTCTGGAAAGATACTCGCATATAATTTATATTTCCTTGGAATTGTGGTTCATGTCTTAACATCTCTTTGTCATTTTGGGGAGTCTTGGATCCTGACCATTCTTTTGTAACTGCAGAGATCTTCATTCGTTTGTTTTTTAAGGACCTTGCAACACAGACCCCAAACATCATCAGCCTCTCTTAATGGACCATGCTCTTGTAAACTGCATTTAGAAGAACTCCAGTCCTGGCGAGTCAACATCATAGCAAAGCAGAAAAATGCAGATGAAACCACTATATTAATGCACTTTATTATGTGTCGACATCTTTCCTTCATTGCCTGTTTTCTGAATATATGACCATACAAGGTAATGCGTATCTACCAGTGAGACAGAGACTTGTCTTGATCTGACCCTAAAGGGTCAAGCGAAAACTTGGAGAATGGTGCGTCCTACCCAAGTACGGTTGTTGGTGAACAAATACTTCCCATTGCTCTTTGCCGTGAAGTCACAGTCTGTTGAAGCTGCACTGAGTAACTACTGATGATAGAACGGATGGCAAGAGTTTGGTTAGTCAGCGGATTGGCCAGAGTGCTGTTGGAGAAACGTTTGTGATGGGTGTCCAGGCACTGGAGGTGGTCCAGAGCCTTCTGTTTGTTGTACTTGCTGGGTGCAGTGATGGACACGCTGGCTGGCCATTCAAACTGGGGAAAGGGATGACTGTTATGAGTCCTCGAGAGTCAGGGAATTTGTGGATCTTGGCAAGAATTGTGGAACATCATAAATACAATGCTGTAATGGAACACAAGGGTCAGACCCATGGCTCTCCCAGTAGGAATAGTAAAAGTCACAATATGTGACCAAGTTCCAATGACCTGCAGGAATTCTAGCAGCATCAAATGGATCTGCGATCTGTTTGTTTAAAAGGCCTGACTTGGCTGCTCATAACTCTTTGCTCAACCAATAACATGAGTTTATCAAACAATGGAAGATGCCAAGGTTGAAACTTGTTTAGAAGGTCTTTATAAATTATGTTGTTCTGAGCGGCTTTACCTTAACTTTGAGAGCACTCACAACTCTACACAACTCAACAACATTTCAACCACAGTTGAGGTCATTTATTTAAAACCATACTGAAAAGGGCTATCGCTTGACAGTAAACTGTTTGCTCCCATGATTGCATATCTACAGTGCCCACATCTCATGAACTACGCCAAAGGAATTGAGTTTATATAAGAGATGAACACCACTTGATAAGCTTCTGTTAGTGGACAGTCTTTGGGTGCGCCTCAGTCTGCTCCCTAGTTCCATAGTAAGTGCACTGCCCAGGGAGTTTGCCATTTGTAGCCTGTTCCATTTTTGAAAATGTTACATGCACATGAAACTTGGAAAATGCACCATAATAACCAGAAAGGTTGTGATATTTTCTTCAGTGTCAGTGCCACAGTGTATTCTATGATTAAATTCCTGATACATTTTATGTGAGTCTAGTAATTGTCACAGGTAATTAAGCCATTATTTTTAGTGGATCAAGGCCATTGAAAATTCCCAAATTTGTTTACAATATTCACTTCATGGGAACTAAGGACTAGGTTTTTGCAGGTAGACCACCAGGCCAACTACAGACCTCAACTGTGGTTGAAAAGAAAGAGTTGTGAGTGCTCTCAAAGTTAAGGTAAAGCCGCACTAGGAACAAACAGAATTCACAAAGACCTTCTAATCTTTCACACAGCTCTGAATTTGAGGGAAATAATTTCCATTCAAAAGTAAAATGACTAGTAAAGTTTGATTCTGTGATGGGTAGAGCACATAGTAGATACACACACACACACACACACACACACACACACACATATATATATATATATATAAAAATATACACATATATACACACACACAGATGTGTATGTATTCCAGTTGCTTTCATAATGTGTTTCATTGGGCCTCTATGTCCAGTGTTTCTTGAATAAAATATATAGAGCAGACCTTGCCAAGAAATTTTGTACACCGATAGACTGTCCCTGACATTTTGTCCACTGATAGTATGTTGATTGAATTAACCTCCACAACAGAGGCTGCTGCTTCTTGGTCTAACCTGTCTGAGTTCTCTCTTTGAGCACAGCTGGAAGCCAGATTCACTGTCACGGATTCAGTAGATTTTCCAGCCATTCACTGGCGAAGCACTGAGGTGTAGTTGACGAGACCCTTGAGACACTGCTCTTAAAAGTGTCTCCACTGGAGAGAGCGACTACAGGGGCCTCCCTATTCTGGGAAGTGAGAATAGAGGAATAGAAAAGCAACACGAGTGAGTTGGCTAAATGGATGGTATAGGGCAACAAACATCCACAATTTTCCAGCCATTAGGTGGACGATTGCGGTGTGAAAGTATGTTGCTGACAGCTCCCTTTCATTCCATCTTCATTCATCATTACAGTCAAAGGAATAATTCCACAAGTCTGTTTGGATTCTCCATGTTTGCATGCTGATTTTTTTTTTAAAGTGAACTCATGAGTCAATTCTGAATGGTCAACTTCTGGAAAGAAGAGAAGACTTTGGTTCATTAGCCAAAGAACTCATTAAGCAGAGAGGTAGCACAATTGTGGGCTGTGAAAATGGTTGTGGTTAGCTCCTACACTGTCCACTTGATGTTAATGTTAAGTAGGCTATGACAGAGTTTGGCTTCTTGAGTTTCAGAATTTGAAGCATTAGCAGTCCCAATCTCATGTCGCTTTTTATAAGTATGAACCACCAATGAAAAAGTTTAAAATAACAGTTAACTGTCCTGGAACTCTTGAGGAAAGCTTGCCAGGACAGTGAGGATGAGGGTTGGACACTACAATCAAACAGATTATATTAATGGAGCTTGGCTTCTTTGTTTTTGTGCAAATGTATTTTTTAATGGAGGAAAAAGACTCAAGCAGTGGCTCTCCATCTCTCTGCGGGAAGCCAACCACAGATTTCCTCTCCACTGCAAAGCAAGGATGGATGCCTGGAAGATGCTCAGGGCTAGCTTGAATAAAATTAAATGACTTTATCGTCTGACCAATCCTCACATGGAACTGATGACATAACACTATTTCATATAAGTTACTACTGTCAAGCCATTCCATTTTAAAACCATTTCACATTGCTTGATTTGTTTTATACGCTCACCCTTCCCAGGTCACAGTTAAAGGGGTCATATGATGCTTTTTAAAGATCATTATTTGGTGTAACAGAATAGGTTGACATGCTTTAATGTTAAAAAAACACATTATTTTTCAAATACTGTACATTATTGTAAGTCCTCTATGCCCCGCCTCTCTCAAACGCTTCGTTTTCTACAAAGTCCCTCCTTCCGACAAGCGCAGTCTGCTCTGATTGGCCAGCTGACCCAGTGCATTGTGATTGGCCGAACACCGCAAGCACTCGTCGGAAATGTAACACCCCTTACCATAATCGCGAGCTTCATCTTTCAAAATAAATGTAAAGACAGAGCCCGAAAGGGGAACAGAATCGCGTGACAGACACAGTGATGAATATGTGTTTGCAGTACACAAGCTACGGTTAAGACAGCTGACTGCACTGTGATGTGTCTCGCTCTCTCTCTCGCTCTCATTTGCACGCACGCACGCACGCACACACACACACACCTCTCTCTCTCTTGCTCTCTCTCTTGCTCACACACACCTCTCTCTCTCGCTCGCACACACACACACCGCTCTCTCTCTCTCTCGCTCGCGCACACACACACACACACACACACACACACACGATGTGCAAAACTCCGCATTTGAACAGTCAATAGCAAATACTTACCTATTAACTAATAACAAAACAGTAGCTGATTCAGAAGCGCCAGATTGTCATAGCAAAGTCAGAATGACCTCCTCTCCTAGGTTCACGAAACGGTCGTCCATAAAATGCATTGCTGTTCTGTTGTAAGTAATCTTAAAGATTCCTAAATGTATCTACAGTACTTCTGGAAGGCCAAATAAAGTGATTTTGCTTTAGCCTAGAAACACACAGCGTCTCCCTGACATGCTGCTTCAACACTAACTGCGGTTACTGAAACCACGCCTTCTTTCTTTGCGTGCACATTTGGGCGGCATTATGCTAATATTTCCACATAGTGAGGTAGATATGTGGGGGCGTGTTAGAACGAGCCGTTTTAGGGGGGTGTGGCAGAGTCTTAACTTTGATAAAGAATATCTCTTTGGTTTTGAGACTTTAGTCTTTGCA